TGATCCTCCAGGTTGTTGGTTAGAACAGACACGGCGACCTGTTCTTTAAAAGTGTAGGCTACTGTAACGGTCTTAAGCCAATCACCAGTTAAGCTTTGGAGCAAAGGCTTTGCTTGAAGGCCCTAAAAATCCTCCACTTCAGACCCGGCCTCCTTGATAGTATCCTAACCATGAACTGAACATCTACAGATAATCCCTTACCACATCAGACGTCGCGCGCTGCCATCAGCCGGTTGCGTTATTTGTTGTAAACAAGAGGGTGGGTAAGCGGAAACAGGCCACTGTTGACACCTCCCTTCTGTCCCTTTCACGTATTTGCTATCTTCCTGCTCGCCCCGTTACCTGCGAAATCTCCGTGCGATCAATGTCAAGGATTAATAGACCGGTTCGCCGCCCAAGTATCTATTTACACTGAGTCACCCCCTATTAGGCCGTCGGTCCATAGTCTGCATGGACAAAAGAAACAAACGAACACTCCGTCGACCTTCAGTCGCTAGTCATAAACTATGCATCAGTCAAGCAAGCCACTATGTTGGCCAATGCTACGTCCAACATGCAAACCCATTGTGAGCAGCGACATTTGTGCTTTTGAGCTTCTACGTTGATTTTCAACATTAGAATCATCTTTTATTTTGCCAGTGTAGGTCCTCGTTATAAGTGTGATATTGATTATCTGGATGACTCACTCCATTCGAGGCTTAAATTGTTACGAACCGGAGAGAGCCAACCAAAACCCCCCTTGGTAACCGGTTCTTCTTGCGGCAAGTGGATAAATCGTTGCCGGTTCATATCTGTCATTTTTTCTCAATAGACCAACCCCGTGTCCGGGGGTATATTGATATTCCTGCAGGTAATCACTCATTGGGAACACATGTTACTCACCTTTAATACATCTGGCTGCAAGCTTGGTTTTCCGACCTCTCGTACTTTCCGTTTTCTTTCTCTGTTTTTTCTCCCAGTTGTTGATGTAGACGACGGAGGGTACTTTGTAGATTGTCTTATTGTGATCCCAGTCGTTTCTAGAGTGGCATAAAAGGCAGTCACATTTTAGAACAACTGGAAAAGTTGTTGGATTCTTATGTCTGATTTTTGATGGTCATCAAGTTTCCATTCTCCGACGGGTGCATGTTCTTTGGCGGTAATAAGAATATTTTTTACTCAAAACAATCCACATTGAGATGTGATCAGCGAACCGGTCTCAGTCTGAGTAGAAAAGCGGTCATTTCCTAAACATCTTTCGGTAGTTTGATCATCCCAGTACGCGAACTGCCAGATCATTTTCTCACGCAGATTTACCAACCTCACTGCTATCTGAACGCTATTCGGCTGCATGGTTTCGACCAATCAACGACCGCACAAACGCCCATTCTATTGGACTTGTCTGGTTAACTCCTATGAATATCTATGTTGAATGTGCATTCGCATCTGCTTCGTTTGAACAGTCTTCGTCTTATCCGGGCGCAGTTATCCCGGATTCAAGTGTAGTTCTTATGGGAGTACATCATATCCTTGACCATGTTGGGTTGTGAAACCTCCACTGCTGACTTACTAGACAGGACTTAGAGCGTGAATTTACTGCCCGGATGGTCTGTGGTTTGAACTCTACCTCTGTATCTCGATTCTTCTCGTCTAGGTCTAAGCAATCTGGCAGTATCCCAGGCCTAGTGCTTTCTTCGGGTGGCATGGCAGCTAGGCACGGAACGGGGTGTTGCGACTGAACGATTATCAGTATTAATCCAACTCATGTGCTGGTCACTATTCGCATCCAAGCTGAACTTGAGTCGACGTCATGTACGCCAAAAAAGTACAGGAGCATGAGTTGGACTTTTTGCGTTTTGCTGGCGCTGCTGTCGAATGGGGTTCTACATGAGGATTGACTGTCTTCAAGTATTTTTTCGTTCTAATGACGTCAACTCGCGCCGATCCTTAGACGTTTGTGGATTTAAGAAGTAATTGAACTTGTTTGTCCAACTGATGTGCTCAGAAATAAGTAGGCGGTGTGTTAGAGCTTTCCCAACTTCCCTTCTGTCCCACCTCATAATCAGGCCTCTAGGCACATCAATCAAGTAACCAAGAGAACAACCGATTGCAGGCCACCGGTCACATATGCCGCTTCGAGCTCATCAATTAGACGCAGTTCTTTTACTGCAGTTTTTTACTTTGTGATTCCCTAAGCTCATTGGCCCAGAACCCGCATTTTCGCACACTCCATAATTTTACCATAGGTGTTCGCTATAATTATGCTACTGGAATACAAGCGCTCGCGCTTATAGCATCCTCGTTCCGTCGACACTATGAGCTGCGAATCCCAGGTGATAATCTAGTGGCTGCGGTGTGTCGTGTTGTTGTTAGTATGACCGTCAGCCCCCAAGCTTCCTGGACCCATTGGGTGTCAGTGAACACCCGTTCCTTGCCGTTCATCTGTTTTATTTCCAAAGAATTCAACCAATTTGTTCATAGGAACACCTATGTCAAGGACCAACCGGCCGTTTATCCGCCACGAAGAGTTCATCTATTCTCAGTTGCCTCAGCCACTAGATAGTGGCCAGTCTAATTCATACGATAGATATTGGTACTTTGTAACTAAGCAGTGGTTACTCGTTTTGCATAGCCATACTGGGTTAGGGCGTAAATATCACCGTTTCGCTGGCTTATGGTTGATCAACTGTGGAGCCAAGTTGATCGAATAACTATTACTTACCCATGGTGAAGCTCATCACTCTACTGCCAAGTATTGTGTAATACACAGGTTGACATGTTTCCTTGTTCGGTGGAGATTTTTGTCGAATTTTCCTATACAAATCCGCTCTGCCGTTAAAAAGCTTTCCCAACCACGAACTAAGCTACACCCAAACTTTTCATGACATGATTTAATGGTATCCTTTTCCGGAAGACGCTTGTCGTAAGTGGGAAGAAATGACGACCGCTGTATATGACGCTGGATAATCAGAATAACCGCTCTATCTCAAAACGACCACTGCTACTTGTTTTGAGACGCTGTGTCACTTCGGACTCAGAGCATAATATGATGGGAGGGTTCTACTAAACGTGGACTCAGCCTCAGCTTGTGTTCACGAGGAGGCGTGGGACAACCAGGAGCTTCAAGTAACTGACAAGACTATAGTACAGCAAGAAATTCGCGGTAGTTGTCACAGTTGATCCGCATCACGGCACCCAACAGACCATCTACCGAGTAAACAAATGTAATGCCGGAGATCTGATGTAAATTAAGAGCCACCATCTAGACCGTCGGTCTATGTACCTCTATTTTGCATTTGACTACCCCAAATGAAGTTGTTGTTTGTGACTTAACACTACCAACACAGTTTATCAAATGCATNATATATATACTAAGGTGTCTACACCTCCAACCGCTCAATCAGACAATCTGGAAAGAAACTGACAGCACGAACGCCACTGACACCAAATACTGATATACTTGTATGCCTGGATACGCTGCCAAGCTGATGGATCAAACAAGCTTTCCTCAGAATCGTTTAAAGACGGGATGGACCTCTCTGTTCTTTCTTACGTGAGTAAATTTCGCTTAGGAACAAAAGGGTCAGTCAACAACTACTCAGTATACAACGTGACTATTCCAGTCATGAAAACACAAGCCCTACATCTATCGTAACACGCCAGCTTCAACAATGAGAAAAAGCCTAACCTTAGCACACAGGAGGTAAATCGAGAGCATTAAACAGTATTTTCGGGTATACTGTCAGTGATTTTACATCAACATCAACTAACCAAGAAACAAGCGTGGTTCTCTTTAGCTTCCAGGAGGCCTTCTACTCCGCGGCTGGGTCAATTCTGCCTACTCTTGGCCAGAAGAAAATGGCCATGAAATCGGTAGGCGTAGTTTGTGCTCCTTGTTCTCGCACTCCTGGTCAGTTGACAGTTTAAAACACATTCCCTAAAAGCTTTCCCACAGCTAATCAAGCCTTTTTGCTCAGTTTCACCATCGATGTCATCTTCGAGAACACTTTTCAAACAGCCGTCCTCCATTTCCCGCCTTCAAAATCAAGTTATTTTTAGCGTTTTCAGCTCCCCGTACAGGTGTTTCAGCTTGTTGGTTAGTATTCATATTTTGACATCTTCAAAAGCCTTAATCTTAGTGGATGGTATAGTCAGCACACGCAATTTCGGAGCGTGGATAGTGTTTTCCACTCTGCGTCATTCGTGTCGGCAGAAATGAATCCAACGAAAAAAGAAGGGCCGGGAATGACAGATTACCGTTGAAGCAGGCCTACTCCTTGACTGTAAAAATCGGTCACTCCAAACAGAGGATCTTAAACTTGTTTAGCAGCTTATTCATCGATGCCTTAACGCATCGCAAAACTCAGCCTCCTGAAGCGTGTTTTCAACGAAATCCCCCGGGATTGATTACTTATTAACGAATTAGAATCACTGGAGAAGCAGACAGACCGACCATTGTAGGTATTTGGAACATACACTGCACAGGCCAAACTACCGTTTTACGACGCAAATTAATAAGTCCACTCCGAATCCTTGTTAGTGAAGGGTTTGCGGTAGGACACGGCAACACGAGTATCAAACTGTGGGCTGTAGGATATTTCCGCTTTTCTGCTAAGGGTCCACTTTGGCCTTTCTATACATGGCTCCGAAGCCTACATGTTGTGGCACATAATCGTTTCTAGTGGCAAACATTCTGTAGCTTCCTAGTCGCACAGATTTGTCTGTCTTGGAGTCATGTTTGCTGATGTTTTCAATGACGTCGTAGAGTGACATTATGCATGAATGTTTCCGATGCTGATCCAAGTTATAGGCACTCTGATTATGAATGTCTCACGGTCATGAAGCATTTAGACACCATGATTCACTATTAATGCATTATTGTCAATGAATACACTTGAAGGGGACTCTACGGGTCGAGAGTGTTTTGAACAACAAAGCGTACATGCGCGTGGCTACCGGCGTTCCCTGGTTGAGGGAATACTCAATGTTCAAAAAAAAATACTTCGCCAACTTCGTACACGTCACTTAGTGTGGCGATCAAACCCATCTACCGACGTGCATATCAAACATCCCTCAAGTTTCAAGTCCCTCACTGAAGTGGTATCCGCACGGCAAGTGAACATCGGAAGAAGGTATCGAAGGGAAATTTTCTGTGTGCCGTTAAATGTCTTACCCTTTTGAGCTGATGTGCCCTCATCTTTTGGAACAGCCTCTGTGGGCTCTATCTCTTCATTAACTTCTGGAGGTTGTTCTGTAGGAGGCTCTTCTGCTCGCGTGTGAGTAGCACACTGAACCAGCGCCTCGAAGAAGTCGAAGAACGTTAGCTATACAACAAAACAGTATATGCAATTTAACCGTACTCTTCTCCTTCGGTACAAAAAACAGCCAAACGTTCAACGTAACTGAACTACTTCTCTCTTCCGAAAGCGCTAAATGTGTACTAAACAAAATTTATAGTCACCTTCTTTGGCTTAGGTTTCCCGAATAGAAAATAAATGCATAAAACAGTCTGTCCTTGAGGACACTTTTCACAGAGCAGATTGACTACTTCCAATTACATACCAGCGACAGTGTGATTTTGTTCCAGCACGCTTGACTAAAAACATATTGTGAACACCGGTTTTCTCTTAGAAAAATGAAACAAACACTACAAGCTAAGAACAATCGGAATACGAGCTGGTGGACATACTGACCATTGAATTATAGGTTCCGGTTCAAGAGAAAAAGCAAACGGCTTTGTCTTGATTGCCCTTTATTCTGCCTCTCCTCTTGATCCAAACCAACGAAGAACTTGGGTCCAGGATACCGATCAGTCGAACACTCATGCTGGCCTAAAAGTTCCATGAAAACAACTTTGTATTTGCCTGTTCCGTATTTGCTGATTAGCAGGTTAATCGCTAGTTTCTCTGACTTATATAACTACTTGATCGTTTGCTTTGAGATAACCATCTACCGTCACAGGACGAATCAGTTTTCCAATGTTTCTTTTTTCAGTGAGGACTTTTATAGGCCACACAAATACAGGGCTTTTCTGTCTCGTCTTTGCTGGTGCTAAACTAGATTTTCTGTTTGTCTCCTGAGAAGAAGACGTCATTTGTATGGTGAAAGAGCCGAAGTTCGCCGTTCTTACGTGAAAAATGCCAAATAATTAGAACTATTTTTATCAAAGCAGCTATATAGCAATATAGAGCAATTTCTTTGATTGGAGCTCAAATAGATCCATTAGAACGTTCACCCGTGTTCACTTGGCACTTTAGACTGTGACCAGAATATGGCCTTTGAACTGGACGTTTGTCCAGTGAATGTTGTAGGTATGACATTCACAAGCCTGTTTTATCCGTAAACATTAGACTAGTCAGTCAAAACTGTGGACACTAGAGTCGCTCAGGGTACGACTTTTAGCACCCAGGTCGGAATTTGGAATGTGCAGTTGACAAACAACAAAGGGGAATTTTAGCAGTGACATTGCCAGTGAGCGACAAGTGTCAGAACAAAAACTTTCAATTTGATGAGTGATTCGAAAAGAAATAACTTGGGGATAATGAAAAGATTGCGTGAGTGGGAGTGAGGGTACTGAAATTAGTCATTTAACCCTTAAAACGGAAGTAACCCAGAAAGTTGAGATGTGCCAGGTCATTGTTGCCGGTAAGTAGGTTCCAGCGAAGTTGATGACTAATGGGGCAGTGGACGATAAGCGTTACTGTTTAAGCCGAGGACATTGCGTGGACTTGCAAGGTAACTTTGGATTTTATGTGGGACTGAAATTCCAACCCCAGCGTTTTTGAACCACGACAGGATGTACAAGAATTCAGTTGGTATCATACCACGTGGGGAGACTGTCCGAAAAACTAGCCTGGAACAAAGTGAATTGCTTTGAACCACCGTCAGATTCCATTAGGTATACTGTCTTCAGGCTTTGTTGTCAAATTGAACCATCACCACCAACGTTTTAACAATTTATCTTATTTAACATTTATCTGCAACTTCATGAGTCAGAATTGATTGACTGTGCGTATCAAGTGAGTGAAATCCACCGCCATCTGAAGACAATGTCTCTGAGTAGGCATTTTGCCCACTCAACCCATCTCCATAGGACTATGTTTATTTTTTCGTACCCTTAATTCTAAAGGGAATTTTCAGGAAAGACCTTAAAGCGGAGTGCCAAAAGTGGTGAGCTCATTGAATTTAGCTGCTTAAAGGTACAGTTTTCTAAGCTTCAGCGAAGACAACATTGATCCGGCTGGCAACTAGGTGAACTGAACATCACTGAATAACTGAATCTGTTATGAAACATCCCACTCTTCTTGATACGCTCCGGCTATAGTTCAGGCGGAAGACTTAACTATAGGAGCAGGTTTCTCAAAAAAGAGAACAGTCTGCTACTTATAGCATCTTGCCGCGGGAGAATGCATGAACAGGCGATGTATTTATAAGTCTGCTTAGCGGGAAAGCAGTGACTATGGAACTGTGAGGGTAGTCATTTTCGCTGAAGGCAAAATGTTAACCAGAAAAACCAAGTGTTAAAAATGTTTCCGGTGTACTGTGGTTGCTTTTCACGCTTCAGCACGACAAAACTAGGTTGCATTCGGTCCATCCAGCAGACTCGTTTCGAAATATACGGGAGTTTGTCGGGACACCTCACAACCCGTTCTCTAAATCGACCTAAGATGCTTGAAGCACTATGATTAAAGGAGCCTCTACCAAAAAAATTCATTCAATGCTCGAAATGCATTCATTTGCTCACCAGTTAAGTCTTCATGGATGACTCAATTAGTTATTAGCTAAATCTCTAGTTTATGATCATCTTTATTTCATTTTGCTGGACAAGTCATAATGGATATAACACAGTATCCAGTAATGCAAATAGTTTTCGGGTTTTTCGGCTTCCAAATAGCGCATATTTAAACGGATAGATGTCAAGCCGCAACGTAGGCAAATTATTCTATAGCCTGATTTATGTGAATTATCAATGGCTTTCCATTGAAAGAAATATTTGGAGCGTGTAGTTTATAAATCTAAATCACTTTAACACGTTTTGGTATTCGAAGTCAACCATAAGTGTACTTCAGTCAGGTGTCCAATTGAATTTTTTGGGTTTTAAAATCGCCAGCAATATTGATGATCTGATTTGGAATACACTATTAACAATAATAGTAGTAATAGTTGATTTGTCCGGGCGCTACCGACTTGCACTATGCACGAAAACTCATTCATTCGCGGAAGTCTTTCCCGAAAAGCATGATGTCATACTCGAAAAATACAACGATTGATACAAGTGACTAATACTGCAAAATATCGATTTCGCGGAGTTCTTACCTCTACTCATAATCATTCGTTTCATACGCTTTTCTATGTGAATCACTTAGTGAAGGTGAATGTTGTATTGCCCGGAATTCATAATTCCGACACTCCCCTTGCCCGTATTTGCAACGTTTATCGTAGCAGACGTGACCCTTCTACGCTGAATATATGTGCTGCCTGGCGTAACAAGATTGCACAAGATTGCTCCCGGCCACTCAACGGAGTAGTAATCTAGCCGGGCAGTTTGAATGACTCGCCAACATCTCGTATGTTGTGTTTACTCTGGCTATCGGAAATCTAAGGGAATTCAGGCAATGTGGTAGTCACATCTCTGAGGCATTCTACAGAGCCGATAGCGTTTCTTTTGAAAAATCTCGTACTTCTAAACGCTTTCTTTACTCCTATACCTCGCTAATTTATGTGCTTTTATTTTGTGCATTTTTTCTGATTTGCAAAGAGCATAAATGCAACTTTCATTTATATCACTGTATTAAGGCAAGGAGGTAAACACCATAGCTCAGCGCACTCACTTATGTGGGTCGTTTTACATTTAGATTCGCTCGTTGCTCAAATCCCCAAAGTGCGTAAAAGTAGAGAACTCACTTCAACCTCGAGATTACATTCGGTCGGAGGACCTGCTGCGGGGTTGCTAGCGCAAAGTAGCTCCACAACGTCCTTTGTAGTCAACTTCGCGTCCAAAAGCTGGTAGTCCTGAAAAAGCGTTTATTGGAATGTACGCAGTAAATGTAGATTAATCCAGATTGTGTCTATATACTACTTTATTGATGAAACAGATGAGCTCCCGTTCTCTGGGGTCAATCGAGTTCGACTGGCCTTCCATTACCAAGATCGATTATTACATAAACTCCGAACCACAGATCAGGGGCACAGAATAAGGACCGTAAATAGAACCAGACACATCTACAGACATTCCAATGCACACCGATAAATACAGCGGCCAACCTTCGACCTCGCCCACAATTACAAGGATCTTGTGGAAGCTCTCTCGGTAGATCCTTACGTAATCCTCACTGTCCATCTTGGTAATTTGGTACACCACATTAGTAGGTAATGTGTGCACCCGTGGAAATACTGAGGTCACCATTGCAGTCAGCTAGTCACAGATCCCGATGTCTAACCTTGGGTATACCAAAGATACATTAAGGCATGTTAGTGAACCATTCCGAATTATAGCTGATGCATGGAGTAAGCATAATACCGTTATATCTCACCCTGTCTTTGGCGTCATGTTTTGGACAGTTGTATTAAGTTTTCCTCGGCGCTCAGCATTCGCACAATGTTAATGAATTTTCAAAATCTCCGACGTGTCCCTGATGGACTAAAACAGAGAGACAATTGAGTTTAACCGCCTCCAACTTTTCCAGCCCCTCTAGACACCCAAGGTCCCAATGATGCTAGAAAAGTATTCCACCGGAATTTTTTCGCTAGAAGGACAATGAAATCTGGTAAGTTGCAAAAATATTAACGTAGATTTGGATGGTTTTTGGTGCATCAACATACGCAACAAAATGCAACATTTCAGCTTAAAAAGGTTTTGCAGCTAAGAGCATTGTGCGGCCAAGTAGCCTGGTTTTCATCCGCTTGTTGATATTCATTTCATATTGTCCGCTACTGCTCCGTGCTCTCTACCCTGACGGTTCTCAATTTTAATGCATTAACTCGTTTCCAAAGGGTAGGTTGCTTCAGGTGAGATTAAGCTCCGCATTGTGACTCAGTATATGCTGAGAAGCTGACGAGCAATGCACAGTTGTGACATTTTGCCTAGAATCACTACCAGGGCATTCCTTGGGTCTCCAGGGTTATTGGAACTTGTAACGCTCCAGTTAGTAGTTGGAAAGTGTGCATTCGACCAAGAGGATTTGGTCAGCAGTGTGATTACCACGTACATGAAAAAGATATGGCGCCAATCATCCTTCAACAACTAGTCTGTACAAATCATGTACTTTACCACTGAATGGCTCTTCTAGTGATTATTTCGTATTCCGACTTCAAAATCATCCAATTAGCTATAAACCTGCGCTGTTTCCATCATTCTTCTATCTTTTACTTTGCGAGCTTTCACCAAAGTCATGCAGGAAATTTCTACTTCTCGCTTCTTTTACTCGCTGTCTCCGGTTGGAAAAAATTACTTTCAAACATTTTTCGCTGCATTCAAATGTAGCTAACCCAGACGGAATATCATTTTTCGTTTTATTAGAAAGATGATGTTATGGGAGTGTGAACTCGTACGTCCGACGAACCAGAAACTCTTTACTTGAAATAAATCACAACGACACCGAATTCTACAACTTGAGCACTCACACCGGAAACACAATTCTCAGTGAAGCCAGGTATCGGAACAATGTCATGACTTCCAGGAATAAAACATACACCGTCCAAACGCATCGAAACTTATCTCATCCAGGGGAGATTCAGTGGTAACACATCCTTCAATCGACAGTCTGGTCGCCTTTACGATTAGTATTTTGTATGTGTAATACTACAGAAACCAGAGACGACAGGTGGATCTCATAACACTCATAACTTACTTTTAACATGAATAGAAATTGTCGCATTTTAATCGTTGAACCCGGATTAGTTGGCTAAAAGGAAATAAACAGGCAATTTTACTGTATGGAATAGACGGATGGGAAAAAATTACAAAGATAAATCAGGATTACCACTACCAATACCCCTGCACAAATCGAATTAATGCTGTTCTTGATTTTGCAAAGCGTTCCTCTATTGATGTCCAATTCCAAAAAAGTATTCATTGTCACCAAAGTTTAGTAATTTCAAAAATACTTGTCTACTGGCAACTCAAGAAAACCACTATGGCGGATAGATGGGTACTTATTAGATTTTGTAGGAGATATCTAGATTTCATCTTAATCCGCTGGCTCATTAACATACGTGACTGTCAGTAATGGCGGAAATAGTGGGGCCGCCATTCACCCAATATCGATAGATTTCTCCAGTCCTTAACAGCTACAGTATAGACCCAAACAACATACGGTATTTCTTGGATCACCGTTAAACCAATCTCCGCCATGGAGCAACTGGCTTTCATTATGATAGGGTTGGGATTCTTAGGTGCTCCACAACGCTGCCACTTAAAGAATGACAATCAGCAACCGGATCCAAGAGAATTTCATCAGGATCTCGAGTTGAGTAATAGATTTTGTCTGGTTTGTTCATCGTGAACTACTCTATAGGTCGGATGATGATGAAGCTCCAACGCGGCTATCTGGTTTGTTCAACCTGAACCACTCTATCGGTGGGACGATGATAAAGCCCAAACGCGGCGCAAGTTTGGGTGATTCGGACCAAGATTTTCTTGGACAAGTGAGATTCCTGAGACTTAGGATGACAAACTGGTAGTTCGGGAACCACGGATTTAGATATTTTCTTGACTAGCCGCACTTCAACATCGGTGATCTGCTTGCAGATAACTTCTGCGCTAAGCAACCAGGCTTAAAACCCGTCAATAGGGACAAGCCAGAATGCTGTCAAGCATGCGTGAGTCTTTTTATAGTCTGACTACATTTCTGTTCGACAAAGTCCTCGTGGGTTAGAAGACTTACCTGCTTTTACATCGACTATCGGTTGGTTAGGATGAATAAGCTCATGTCAAAATACGATGATGCACTCGGATAGAGCAAGGCTTGCTCATTGGGACTTTCCCCTGAGTCAACAAAGACAGTGTCGCCATTGTAACCGGTAGTCTGATTAGATCTTTCACATTATTCTCTAGCGCATGCAGGGTTGATAAGGTAACAAAGAGCAAAAAATCACCTGAAATGAGGGGTGTCTTCGTCCAAAAAGGGACGGTGGACTGGTTCGCTATAAACTTGGAATCAAGCCTTCATTAACGAGTTGTAAGCTTGAACGAAGGCAACGAAAGGCCTGAAAGTTACACGCAGTTGGTTTTAAAAATTTTCAGCGGTACTTTTGTGTTTTGGTCTGGAAATTTGATGATTTACTGTCACACGCACAATTCCTTTCTCAGTTCGTATGGAGGAAACTTGGAAAGATTAGAGCGAAGAAATGAAAGAGAGGCACAAGAGTCTCCAGCCGCACAAATTCAGTCAATCGATGTGTAGAAATCGTCCATATGCAGGCACTGCCCAAGAGGGTATTTGGGTCGGACCAGACAACCGGACGAAATAAACGTGACCTGATGTGGAGCCAAGCAAATAATAATCACTGCATGACCGGGACAATTTGGGTCACCCAATCAGGATACAGGCCAGTGCAAACGCTTACGGTAGCATCAATGAAAAAGCCAAGATCAGCCTAGGTGAATGGACCCCATAAAAACAAATGCACTTTCAAGACCGCTGCACACTCGATGATACTAGCCGGTGTGCTAAAAACTCAGTTCGGTGAACGATCCTGAGACTGCTGACACCTTGGGGCTTTGAAAAGCTTTTGGATGAACCATCATCAATCAAAATTCATTGCTTACCTTGCTATAAAACTGGCTGAGAAATTGATAGATGTGAAATGTTGGTTCCCTGAACGCAAATATTTCTTGCGTTTTCTGCTTGTCTTCATAGAGGGGTCCGCTTATGTTGCATGCGCTCCGCAGTACCACTTGAGTCAGAAGAAAAGCCAGTCCATCACTTGGTTTGCTAATAAGGTGAAATCAATAACGTCAGTACAATTAATTATAAGGGTTCTCATTTTAGGTGAACATCAAACAGGTCTACATTAGTATTCCCGGGAGTCTGTTCGAATCAATATTTTGATGGGTCATGACTTCAGCCTCGTGGAGAATGGGCAACGGTCAACAAATAGAACTGCTCGTACCATTTTACAAGTCGTTAGATGTAAAACACTACTCTAAAGACCATGATTCGATATAAGTAGCACATGATCACAACATCCTAACATGTTGATTTTAGTAGTACTTCTCACGAGAATTGACAGCGTCATCATAAAACAGCACTTCTTGAGATATCATCTATGGTTGAGGACTGGAAAGAAAAGACTGAGGAACTGCTACAGAACAACTAACAATCCAACAGACTTACCCTCTTTCGATCCTCCCTCTATGCTGGAAAAGCTGCACTTGTGAGCACAAATTGCAGGCCAAAATGGCGAGGATGTTGACGAATGCACAAAATGAAATCAGACTATCTGGCCATCGAACATTGTCCGCTTCTTCCGTTGTGAAGGGATAAATCTTACCTAAACGGAACAGAATTATTGGTAGAATCCGTTTAACGAATGGGTAACTTCCCAGGTACTGGATCAAAAAGTATCATATCTAGTGCTTCAAGATGATTCAAGGATTTTAATGCTACTTTATTTCACATCAGATACGTTTATGGCACGTGGAATCTGTGGCAGCTCAGATATCCAGAAAAGCGATAGTAGGTATTCCAAAAATGCGGTGGGCCCCTGTTTTGAAGCAAATTGGCTGGCTGTCCTCTGCCTGGGAGCTCACACACGTTGAGCATGACTTCCCCACTACATTCGTAGTCACGGTGGTATGACCATTTTGGTAAGCGTCCAAACATGACAGATGAATGGAATCTTCGACAAGCAGGATTTACAAGACCTTTCTAGGTACTATTTTGTAGGCAACACTGCCTGGTTTGTCCAGGCAAATGGCTGGGTTCCGCAAAAGTAGAAAGAAAGATGATGTTGCGTGACATGTCAAGAAGAAGTAAGCTTACAGAGTCCAGCTGAAGTGCTTGTGAATGGGTAGAACCAATCATTTAGTCAACAACAATGGCCTACGACTTACGTGTCTCAAACATACAGAACACTTCCGTGGGCTTCTCTCTAATTTCAAGTTTGTCAACTTGAAAGAAACACCAAGAAGAGACAGGTGTACTAAAGTTTATGCAAGGTTCTATCAATTTCTTGTTTTTTTTCAGGTTGTTTTTCTCCTGATATTTGGTTCCACGACCGATATTAAAGCGGAGTACGGGCTCTTTTGCTCCGAAGCATGTCAAACACAAACATAACGATATAAGATCAAAATGTCATAACACTTGAGAGTGACGTACCGATGATTCTGTCAATTTCAGCCAAGCTGGTGTGCTGGTGCAACCGACAGTCTTTGAGAAGCTGGCAAAACTGAAAGTGTTTCAATACAATTGTGTTGTCTGGCATTTCGTCCAAACCGAGCCGACCATAGAACTGGTAGATGCATCTCAGCGCGGCCACATGAGTTGTTATGCAATTTTGCATCTGGATTCAGAGGAAAGTAGGGGAATGATGAAGCTACCTCAGTGTTTGCTGGTTACAGTTTGAGTGTTCATCTAGGCCGGTGGAACACTCTCACTATTGTGTTAGCCTATTTCCTTAAAACGCCAATATCCAGTGGGGAATGAATATTTACTTATTGTTATTTGTAGATAAAGGAGTGAGTGGAGGTACTCTCATCATCAGTTATCATTATTGCCGACTAACACCTGTTAATGTTACTTAATAGTGAGTCATAGCAACCCATCGGCTGGGACTTGAATCCCACGGACTGCAATAACTTGGAGCAGTAACCAGGAGCGCCATACACAGTGTATGAGCATAAAAGCGACTGCATATCAGAACAGGTTTGAACATAAAGTTTGGTTTTCCGGTCACAAATCTTTTAGGCCTTTGTGCTCTGCGTAAAACCAAGTATAAGTTATACGTACGATGATACCTTGCAATCTTTCAAGAATTCTTGATTGTTTAGTTTCTCAAGTAAAATTGGGGCTTTCGCTCCAACTAATGAGTCGCTTTGGAAGTTGTGAGAACTTGAGTTTGATTATTTCCAAAAACAACCAGTGATTCTCTCGGATATTCATGAAGCTATTTGTTAAAGCACATGAACTGTGTAGATAAAAACCGAGGGTATATAGCCCATTATTTGTTTTTTTGGAGTACACATAGTCCTTTGTGTGGATTAATACCAGTGCGTGTTTAGATCTACAGCTACCGGAATTATGACATTATTCATGATCAGACTTTGAAAGTATTGAAAAGCGTAGATTACTTGCGTTGGTTCAAGCTAACTCCGTGTTACTCCCTGAGAATGGATGAACAAAGCAGTCTGTTCAAATGCCAAAAACAACATTCCGTGAGTGCCATTTCATCCTGTAATTTGGGCCAGTCAGTGTTGAAAAGTCGGAATGAACTGTTAAATCGCCAGCAAGCACCTCACGAAACTCCAGAAATTTTTGAATCCGCTCCCTCAAGAATCAACCTCTCGTCTGCGAGAGGCTGATCAGACGTGGGACTAACTTGATTAAAAAAGAAAGAATGTAGCGCCACTCATCCTTCAGTCACGGGATTCATATCAAGTGGTCACGTGTCGACCGATCGCTCGTGTGACGACTTCTCAAATAGACGGCTTACAAAACTAATGAACTAGTTCTCCTTCTGAGTTACTAATCGTTTGTTGGTAGCATGATATTTCGAAATTCTCAAATGAGATTTCCCCCTGTGAGTGAGTGTGCCCAAAAGCCGAAGAACCAACCAAGACGTGATTACGTGACAGCATGCGCAGTTTTAACTTTTGACTGCTGTAGGTTGCGAGCTCAGGAACTAATTTTTCAGTCAACTTCGCTTTCTAAAATTAGGCTTCTCAAACGGTACGCCACAAAATCTCCATGAAGTGACCGAAAGTTCTGCAACTGGCGTACACTGTCAAGTTTTACCACAGGAAAGCAAAAAGATATTTCATGGCCTTTTGAACGCCTAATACAACACTGTGGCCTCAAGAGGCATATGTAACTAAATGTTTTCTCAAATAATTAGTACTGTTACAATTTGAACCTTACATAAGGCAGCTCTGTGGGAACTGTGGTAAAAAGTACACAACTCACTGCTTTTAGTTCTTGAGTAGTGTCGTGTTCACTGGCAAGATGTGGCCGGATATAGTATTCCAAGAGATTGCTGTCCGACGTATTGCTTAACATGGACTCCACCGGCGGTACACCAGAAGTGATCTCTGGGACAATAATTGAATAACTCTGGTCAGTAAAAATCATTTAGGGAGACGAACAGAGAACAACCTACAGCCGTCACATTAGAAGTTGATCCATCAGAAACAACTTGTGAATGCACTAGATGAAAAATCTGGAACCTGATGTATTCTGGGGATACCTACATTGTCATCGTATTTGAGTGTCGAAGTTTTCGCCGGATGGAAATGCGCCTTTCATGAATGAACACTACCTATATGACTTGGTTAGTGAAAACAAAAACTTTGCTAACTCCAAAGACAATAGGACGAATTCGTGATCTGTTCGCCATGGGTCACACACTAATTCGTCTAATTAGTTCATTGTTACGTGTCTATACCATGAAGAGCCACTATACATGCATGTGTTTTCATACGTTTTTCCGTGTGCGCGGCAAATAATTGAAAAAATTCACAATTCTACAGTATGAACTATCACGGTAGCGTATCTTATTCAAAGCAGCAGTTGGTTAAACAACGCACGGCACTTTGGGCCTCCTTCAAGTTGTCCAACTAGTGACTGACGTCATGGTTACTCAGGTGTGGTTTGGGGAAAACAGTACTACTCTCCACTTACCCCACTTACCGGGCTTCATTCTAAGCATCTAATAGTGAATTAGAAACTTTTATCCTGAAGACAAAAATACCACCTCCATTCAGAACTAAGGAAATTCAGACTTTTTCTGTGTAAGAGGCAGATACGCCCAATTTTTGATAGGCCACTAGCCTGATGATCAAGTAAAAAACAAACTATTTATGCCAGCGATCCACGAGAATGAAACCAGAGCCTAGAGTTGGGACACAATATGCTTTTTAGTCAGGAAATATATGTGCAGTAGCTGAGCGCTACTCACTTGGTCTTATGGTACCACAAAGCTGAAAGCAGAAATTATCCTGCGAATCACGTGGCAAATTAGCGTCACATAAGCTAAATTATACTCTCAGTCGTTGGAACTTTGTCCACTTTCCAGAATCGATGACGGGCAGTTGACGCAAATTCATTTAACAGAAGAAGGTAAAATTCTATTACGGGATACCTCAAAACACTGATCATTTCAACCTTAGTGGACTGGTCCTTTCACCAATAATTGTGAAAAACCCCGGGACAGGTAAGTAGCTGACTCAATACGGCCAAAAGCGATAGCAAATGTTTACGCGGTGCAAGGATCTTCGGTACATAAAGCAAGAGGATCTTACGTAGTTCATAATCTGAAAGTCCCTCCTCTAGTCATAAAGCGTGTCCAGTAACTGTGTGGTGGTCACTGCGAAAACGTTTCACCGCTCAAAATTGCAAAACCGCAGTGCATTCTATTCCCTTCTACCCTTATTTACCACGGCTAGGGTTATAGTTACCATGATGGCTGTGAAAAACCGTGTTATGAATCACATACCTGGGAACAAAGGCAAACGTGTGTCCAACCTCTCCAGCCCTGGTTGCCCCATATCGTGAACTACTGGGTCATCCGGTTGTCCAATCAAACAGTCCTCTTTGAACACTCTTTCAAACACTCTGCCGTCCTTTAGGATGAGGTTGCCCTGAAAATGGTTGCACATTAGAGCATTCCGACAATCATGTCGTAAAGGAGGAATATGACTCAAAATCTACTCTAGACAACAGTGCTAACCACCCAGCCGCCCGCCCACACAGTTTTCCAAACACCTCTAAGACTTCCTCCCCTTCAGTTACGCTTGGAACACAGAAACGTTTGATACAGTACCAAACACAGCTGTCCAATAAATTTAGAAATAATTTTGTGCGCATGAAACTTGTGTGGTGTGCTGACGAATCTCAACGTGGACTACATATCCGCATGATTGATCAAGAGTATCACCCAACGTTTCCTAGTGTCGTTGTTGTGAACAAACTGTCAGTTAGAGAAATACGATCATTTACAAATCAATTGGGTTTTCACGAGAGACTCACCTGAATCTCTCGTTTATGGTATTCTACAACTAAGTGTGCTGCACACAGGCCGCCTCATGATTCATTTGGCACGGTATTCGAGATATCGCAGTATATTTTCATAAAGGAAACTACTCACAAGGTTGCTGAAAACCCTTCGACAGCCCACGGCCTGTGTGCAGCACATTCAGTTGTAGAATACCATAAACGATTCGCAAATGATTGTATTTCTCGAAAACAGTCCAATATGGGTTCAAGTAGAACATAAGGTTGACGGAAACTAGGGGGACTGCGCCTACCTGATGAGCCCCGAGAAGGGCGAAATCGGTCGTGGGCTGTCGAAGAGTTTTCAGCAACCTTGTGAGTAGTTTCCTCTATGAAAACTGTCACTTTATTTGTTCCGGTCACAAAATCGCACATCGCTTGTTCTCTTTTCGAGTTCCTAACGAAAGAATGTGACTTCAAGACCTCGATTAGACTGTAATGTTGTATTATGGCATCACAGGATGCTGGAATGATGGGTAGACGCGTTGGGGCAAATCAACCAGATAGAAAATTTAGTAACGAATTTCCTAACCCATTAAATTTGGTACGATTCAAGGGGAGTTACATAATCAATTCAGAAGCTGTTGAGCATAGGTAACAGAAAGTTCCCAAGAGAATCATATCACAGTTTATGTCCATAATTTACACTACGTCCTGTCTTAATTCATTCATTTGCATACTAATCTGGTTTTGACTGGAGACTCACCCGGAACCCGAATGAATCCCTCGTTTATGATGTTCCCCTCAACTGAATGTGCTGCACGAAACCACCTCATTTTTCATGTGGTGCGCTATTCGAGATATCGCGATATATTTTATAGGCGTAATAAACTACTCATAAGGTTGCTGAAAACTCATCGACAGCACACCACCAGTTTTGCTCCTCATGAAGCTCATCTGATGGGTGAAGTTTCTAAGTTCCCATCAATCTTATGTTCCAATTAAATCCGAATTATACATTATTAGCAGAATAATCTCGTTTGCGTGAAAAGTTAGTTTTAACGAGTGATCACTATAGAATCCAGCTTAATCTGCCAGTTCGGGTGCCCTCCTAACCCAAAATGGACCTAATGCCTGAATTCCTATTGGCTGAATCTGATGTACATTCAGTAGACCACCATGTGGACAGACCATCTCCGGTGATCATAGATGAAGGGAATGGGCTACCTTGACATACTGGTTAGTTGTGATTCACGAAACTGTGTTGAAGGAAAAATGGTCGAAGTCAGCAGGGCACCTTTGTGGCATGAATTGCTAATTTTTTTAATTAAAATATCCAAAACGGTGAATACGGAAATTAGGTAGACAGGGGTCAGCAGCTTAAACAACCGACTGTTTTGATACGAGTTGCTGATGAGGAATGTGATCACCTGTGTCCTAGTTAAGTGCCGAACAATTAAGTGTTCAATTTCTACCTAAAGTTTGCGAGTTTGAAATTCTTTTGTGTCCTGAAAGATATCCACTGTTGATGATTTCCTACAAGGATAAAAGAGCTGTAGAGTGCTTCTATACCTTTCAACACAGATTAGCCTTGCCTACTGGACGGTACTGGACGGTCACACAGCAGTACCCGATTAATGATCTGCTCCATAGGAAGTTTTGTTTGCTCGATCGTTAGGCGCGTAGTATGAATAGACCTTATCAGAACTGCGTGCGTCACTTGGGTTTGAGACATGGGAGTATGGCATCAAATTGGCCAACGGTAATAAATATGATTGCTGGGATAACTTCGGGACAGAAATCTTGTGCAGTATAAGTGAAATGACATCAGAAGGTTGACGGAATCTCGGGGACCGCACCTACTCGATGCGTTCCGGGAAAGGAAGGTGCATTGTCGAGAAGTTTTCAGCAACCTTATGAGTAGTGTATGACGTCTTTAAAATGTATCGTGATATCACAAATATCGTATCAGATGAAAAATGGGGCTGTCTGCTGCGGGACATCATGAACGAGTGATTTAGCCGGGTTCCAGGTGGTATGCAAATGAGCGTATTTTTCTAATATTTCCTATAATTCTTCTTCTGTTGCAATCTTTGTGTGAAAAAAACTGTTGCGTCAAGCGTTTTTGATGTCGCCGGAGAACCGTAATTTTTTTCAAATAGAAATCGCACCGTCAAACCTAAGTGACTTCTTCAACCTGAAACCGAGGAGAAAAATTGGGTATTAGTGACAAATCACGAACCGTATAATATAGAACATATTACTCAAATGGCTTTTGGATTGTTTCTCAGGCTTGACCAGTATATTGTGGACAATTCATACGTATACAGGATATCATCACCATTACGTCAAATGATAACCAATGAGGCACTCAGTATGTCACGCATTTGCAAAGGAATTTTCAATACTAATCAGTATTGTTGTCACTGACCGAACAGTTTGTTCATTTATCAAGCGAGCAGGAGATCTGGAAAACGTTTTTTCTCCTTTGCTCTACATTTACCGCAAAGGAAATGACCTGATACAATACCACTTGAGTTAGTGAAGTCCTGTTATCTCCCTGAAAAATCACCTGAAAAAAGGAAATTACCGCTAGACTATTATATGTTATCTCCTTTAAATCCAGTGGTGAACTGTGGGCAAAATTGGCATAATATTGCTTCAGCAGATCAGAGAAAACATTTTTTATTTACTTTTCCGTGCTTCATGTTGTCCTTCCAATAACCCGCATACTTGGATCCGTTTGGGTAGTGGAAAACTCCAAATCCATGACGCACGCCGTTTTTCCACTCTCCATCATAAACGTTTGGCAAAGTGTATTGGGTTGTACGAACTCGAAGTATATGCCAGGCATGGGATCCTTGACCCTCCTAGATGAGATGAGAAAACACAACAGTTGAGAGTTTGTAGAATTTTCGTCTGCATCAGCCCTGTTTAAACGGCCGTTCTTCTGTCGTGACACAGGTTATCCAGTTGGGCACACCAAAACACCAGAATAAGTTGTTGCTCTTATTGCGACTAATTCAAGGTAAGCATACCCTGGTTACGAACACGAGTCATCGAATATTCAGGAATTACAATGCTGTCACTCTGTTGGTGAACCCAAATGACTGAAAACTGAGCTTCACTCTGTGCGGTAGCCAGAGTAATCGCTCCAAAAGAGGATAATCCAATTTGGTGATGTACGAAAAGCTATTGCTGAATGCCTCCTGCTGACGTCTACCCGTCCAATGCTACAAAATGACAGTGAAGTCCTCTAACTAATCAAAATGATCTGCGTAAACTGGTTCTGATAAGCTTTCGAGTGAATTCTTACTTGTTGCATTTGTCAGTTCTGGCTTTCGTCCAGCAGAACTGAATGACGCCAGGCTAAAATGCACCTGAAATTGCCATTCGAAAGAGATGTTTGATGCTGAGAACGACTACCACTGGGAGCATAAGAGCCCTTCCCTGAATAGTTGACTGCTATCAAACTGGAATTGAACGGTTCAAGGCCTTAGATAAGGAAGTAAGCTCCTCATCTGTGCAGAGCCTTTGTAAAGTGAAGATTACCAAGCGTCATCTTGAACTTTTATGGATGTCCATTTAATATTAAACAGTAGTAAATGGACGCTGAGCGGCGTTTTCAATCTTTCGTAATACCCTTCACCGTTCATCGGATGTGGGGGGAGAGCTTGGACATCAAACTATAGACTACTTGCGTTCCTCGTCAGCAGTATACACCGTTACACTACTACATCCTTCCAATTGTAAGTTGATTCTTCGCTTCGCCGAGCCGCTGGTGACCCAAGACATGTTTACAAATACTATGCTTGGGATTTTGTGTTCTCTTTCCGTAAGAACTCGGAAACAGAAATGGAGCATCTGTAAGGTGGTTTTTAAAGGATAACTAAGCCGATCGTGGTATGCCGGCAGATATGTGTTTATATGTTTAATGTATATATATGAATATATATACACCTTATGGACAAAATTGTGCCGGCAGATATATGTTTATATGTTTAATGTATATATATGAATATATATATACACCTTAGGGACAAAATTGTGTATGTATGCGTGAGTATTTTGTCCTGTCTCGAAATTCCTATCTAGGCAGATAGCGCTAATGATCGCGACCGAGCTCGCCACCACTGGGTTTCATACTTCGCTCTATTGATAAACGGTTGTATAAAACACTCTGCCCTATACGCAATATGGTCCTGAAGACGCTGGTTATACCATTTATTTCAGTAGTAGAGGAATTTATCGGGTATAACTGCAGTATACGGTGTCTGTCAGTTTGATTGATTTATATGTAAGTATTGGTGATGTGCAACCTCGCTTATTGGGTGTCGTATCACGAGCTTTCGTTCTGTTTTCCATCCACAGAAATTGTCGTGAACACCTGCCCTCGGAGAATCCATGTCCGTTGGTGCTTCCATAGCGTTCATACTACATATTTGGCGGCCACGCCAGGATGGTTACCACACACTAGTGGACCTACCACAAAGATCCCGGCTTTACATACGCGCACGCAGGCCTCAGAGCTAGCGCGTTGCTTACTCACGCACGGAGAAAGCAGCCCCAGACGCAGCAACCTCAGCAAACGCTCACCAGCCTCACACATCTCATCACTAGCACCAACCGGTTCACGTAGGCCATGGTACACCGGGGACGGTGCATGCTACATAACAAAATTTCTCCATTTACTATAGTATCACACTTTATAGCGTAGACTATACTTGTCTCAATTAGTGTGCGAGTCCAAACAAGGGGACAAACTTCATTTAGATTGGAGTAGTCTGAGTGTCAGGCTAAACCGGAGGGGGGTAGAGGAGTTAATGTCGAATAACTACGGGTCAGGTGTGCATTTGTTTAACACACGCAGATTACTTTTATCTGTTTAGCATTTTCCCGTGCAACTGACCCTGAGATTTTAGCCTGTAAAAGGTTGAAACCTCACCTGCTTTCCAGCGACCCAGCGACCTGAATATATTTCATCCCGATCTTTCCAGTGCATTGTTCCATAACCGCACCTGTTCCCGTCAAACCATTCGCCTTCGTATGTGGTTCCATCAGGGTATTTGGAAACTCCGTATCCCTGGCGTATGTCCTCAAACCAGTCTCCTTCGTAATAGCACGACCCATCACTGGTGTATTCGAGTCGACCCTGTGCAGAAAGGATAAAAATGGCGTTATTCCAATTGTTCTGAGGGTGTAAGTAATCCGCGGATTTCATTTGGCTTGGCCTGAACAACATAAAATGTTTCAATAAAATTTACTCGCTCACTTACTGGATTGCTTATTCCTTTGCCAACATGAGCACTCGCTTAATTACCCACTCATTGTTTAATTACCGTTTGCTTGTTTCTACATTTTGTTGGTTCGTTCGTTCGCTAGTTGTTTATATAGTTAGTAAGTTGGTTACAAACCGAATTACTATCAGGGGATCATTTGAGATTTTAATATACCACTCTCTTTTCGCACAACCACGTGAAGTGTGAAAGAGAGCCAAAGGCGGTCAAACAATGATTTGGCAGCAAACTCAGCTGCGCTGGTCATTGCAGTCTTCCTGGATGGGGACCTCGAGGTGGGCCACACCAATGGTTAGAGACACTGTCAGCCATGGCCCAGTCGCGCCCTCAAAGGCACTCGTGCATCCAAGATGTTGCCTTTAATTCATAGCTTCCTTCCCAACCCCAAAAACCACCTAAAAGTTCACCCACAGTGCAGTATTTACACACCAATTTATCAGCTCCCGCCTCCAGTGCGCAGCTACCTACCCTCACCCCCCAAATCATCGGTGAACGAAACTGCGACAGCTACAATCATTGTACGACGAGTACGCGGTTATTACAGCTGACAATGATGATGAGTGATGATAAGCTTATTATCCGCAAGTATATTAGTGAATTAATTTGCAATACAAAGATTCTCCTACCCGAAAAAGAAATTTTTTCAAAATTCGCCAAGTACAATTGAAGCTTGACCTATAGTGTGCAGAAAACAACTCTTGTAGGCGCACTCTGTATGGGTGATGTACATTTAATGCAAGAAAAACCCAACTCTGAGGAATTCCTTTCGAAACAACAGCACACAGGCCCATATAATTAAAACACATTTTCTCCTCCTGAGCAATAATCACTCCAAAAGCGATACTTTCTAACTGGGACACAATATTTCACTCGTCGTTTCAAACCTGAGCAAGCTGTGGCTAACAGACAATACACGGGGACACTGAGCGGTCAGATCATCACCAGTGACAGGGTTAAACACTACCTATTCACTCCTACACAACCACCACTAGTCCGAGAATTTTCTTTCATCTCTAGAAGAGGAAACTCTGGAAGTGAAAAGGTTGAGTGCTATTTTCTTAAAGGAACACAACCCATGAGACTACTGAAAACGTCCCGGCACCATCGAGTGCTTCATTCCTCGGGCGCTTCAGTTAGACGATATGGTTCACTTGTGATTCACTGGTCTCCTATTGCAACCAAATTGGTACGCAGTTGAGTGTGTTTCAGGACTAATGTACAACTCCCCTTCATTTGGGACATAGGGTCAGCGGGAACTAGGAGAATTGGCCTATCTGATGAGCCATAAGAAGGGTGAGACTGGTCGTGAACTTGGATAAAATACGCTGCAGTACACTGAATACTGTGCCAACTGAAATATGAGGCGGCCTTTGTACAGCATATTCAGGGTGAAGTGACATAAACAAGAGATGCAGTTGGGATCCATTTGAGTCTTCCGATATTACCAGCTCTGTGTGCAAAAGGGTGTCGTTCACAAAGGTCTAGTGCCGGTTTGCCACACGTAAGTAAGGTGGCCGATGTCCAACCACTCAATCAAACAGTACGATAGTAACTAATGGCAAAGTGAACGTCGTAACTTCTAACTTATCTAGCCAGACACGAGAAATGCCCCATGGACTACTCCTAGATAGATGCGCTGGACCAAAACCTGTACCATAAGAATAAAAAAAGTTAGAGAGAAAGGAAACGAGAGTTTGGTGCAGTCCGTCGACCAAACAAAGTAAAAAGCAACAAATGATAAAGTGATCAGTTGTGTGGATATTAAGTTGCGCTATTTTGTGCAGCCGGTAATCTAGAAGAAATCAGGACGATTACACGAACAAAAGCGACAAATTTTCATGGCGCAATGTATAGTTAACGACGAATTTTATAATAACGCCTTTTAGTCCCAACAGCTTCAACTAACACTCTAGAGCATCATAAGAGAAACGCAAGGTAATTCCACCATAAAAATTGCGGAATCTTATGGTTTTTTCGTTGACAGCTTAACCAGAAGTTGAACTCGGTAGATATATTCTGAGGAGGAATATAACTGGCGCCAGATTCTCACACCTTGTGGCTTTAGAATAACCAGGCGTGTTTTATAACTACTGGGTGCGGACGTGATCAAAAGCAAACCTTTCACTTTGTCGCGCTACCAGAAGCCTATAAAAGCAACGTTGCCACCTGATGACCCAGCGTTGTGTGGCTCACTAAACTGCGTACGACACACAGTCGTAGACTGGTAGAGCACGAGGAAACATTTCACACAAGTAAGCTTACCTCCAATGTACAGTCTGAAATGTCAGCTTCGTTAACGCAGACAAACATTTTTATTGTAATTATATCCTGAACAAATTTTATATCTGACGGGATTACCGAAACAGTGAACTTTATGCAATCTCTCAGATTTAGCATCATTTTCATGTTCTCCATCAGAATGTGCAGCAGAACATGAGGCTCATCGAAGATGTGTGATGATGTTCAATACGTTTCCCTCGTCTTGATCTTCTATGAAGGGACATTTGCGAGACCGACGAAATTTCTTCTGCCACACACATACTTATCTCTAAAGTGGGTATATGACAATATATACAGGTCTTTTTACTGCATGATTTTTTCATTTTCCATTTTGTTTTAATTCACATGGCCTCGAAAAATGAAATGAAATGGGTGTGAAATTTGTACGCCTACGGGATGATGTTGGTTGCTGTTAAAGTCTTTTCCATGAATTCTTCATCCGCACGGCAGACTCATGGATTTATACAAACAAACAACGAAGGATGCTTCTGGAATTTCTTTGTTGTTTGAATAGTAACATTGCCTCGTGGCACACATTTGAATTCCCTGAGTGGACAAAACTCAGAAATGGTGGGCGTTTACTAGGCTCTGATGTATGAATGATATCTCACTGAACCTTCTCTGGAAAAAGACTTTATCAATAGTTCAACACAATTCATGGTGAGACTCCGGGTCGGTACTCGGTCGAAACAGCTAAATAAGATTAGTTCAGCTATGAGATATGGTTCTAGTAAACGTTCAGTTCATCTGCTTTTTCGTCCAATAAGTGGGCGATATTTTGGAATTTAAGTTAGAGCAATATGTGCAGTAGATTGATGGATATCGTTTGGCTTTCGGTGTCTAGCTGCCATGCCATCCAAAGGAAGCACGAGGTCTGGGATACTGCCAGGTTGCTCAAGAAAAAGTCGAGATGCGGAAGTCAGATTCGAACCGTGGATCTTCCGATCAGTAAATTCGCAATCTAACCACTGAGCCACCTCGCAGTAGTACCTATCATATTATTAGAAAGTGCTTGGTCATGCAACAACCAGTACTCTGCGTCATCAGTCTGTCCCATAGCCTCATCAGTGCACTACACAGGATTGTATGAAGTTTCCTTCTCATCCACCCCTTACTTACACATACGCTTTACGATTACATGTGGTTTTTATATTGACCGGTATTATAACATCAGTTCGAGGGGGGCAAGTCGGTTTTTTAGGAAATCTATAATTTTTTACAGCTCCTGAAAACAGATCTGGTAAGTATAAACCACACCTTTGTAATTTCACAAGAACCGGAAAACACATTTGTGATTCGCAAATTACCGCTCAAAAAAGGAATATAGACGCTTTTTAAGCAACTGATGCGACTACATCAGAAGCTTTTTCCTTAGTTGTACAAACTGGACAAAACATGCAACAAAATACACTTCCAAACTAATGTTTAAAGTTCTATGTTCTCGACAAAAATTAAGCAAGACGTGCCCAGATATGCGCAGAGGAATTCGAACGGCCTAGACGAGAGAAACGGCAAAGATTTACAAGCTGCTTGCAAGTTACCCCAATGTGGTAATTACATTTAAAGAGCGCACAACCTGCTGAGTTCTACCATTAAGCAAGACGTGCCCAGATATGCGCAGAGGAATTCGAACGGCCTAGACGAGAGAAACGGCAAAGATTTACAAGCTGCTTGCAAGTTACCCCAATGTGGTAATTACATTTAAAGAGCGCACAACCTGCTGATATACGTTCTACCATCATAGTTCTAGGCATGATCATGGGTTCACCCGGGTCATTCGTTGGTAACGGCCATCCTTAAATTGGGTAGCAGATTAGAATCCACTACCATCAGTAAATGGCTCAGGACCAATAAGAAATCCATGTTGTATGCTTGTGCACCGTCCGTGCTGTTTGATACATGTTTGTGACTACTCTGAGACCACCTAAAAGGAAGTATCATTGAAGATCTCTAGATTACTAAGAGTTCCCCCGTTGAAATGCATCAGCTTGTATGTATCCTATGCGGATCATCAGCGTTAGATATAGCTGTGAGAGTAACAATATAAACGTAACAATTCGAACGAGGCGTGCACTTACACGTGACTGAAAATAAGTTGTCTTAAATTCAAACAGTCAATAGCCCGTTACAAACAGACATTGAGCATCAAGGGTTCATTCATACGGTACCAAAAGACGAGAATCGTGAGTTATAGCTTGAAAACTGCCTTTGAACTTGCCTGAGTCACCAGAATTAATACGGGAAGCACCAAAGAGCAAGTTGCTTCGACGTAAAGTGGATGGCTGATTTGCATACTCAATATAGATAGCTCCTGTTGTGAATAGTACATGATACAGGATGGAATGATAAACGATTACATGGCGGTGAGCGGAATGATGAAAAGGCCTTTGGCTTGATGTTAAAGGATGCCATCCACGATAGCCTCATAACCAACTAACTGTCCTAAACACTTGAAAGTGAGAAAGTCCAGGCAGCAAGAAATAGTCTTATTTTAGAAAAACCGACATGTTTCTCTGTTTTTTACTGGAACCCTGTCTACTTTCCAAGGAAACAGTTGTTTCCGGAACAGTTGTAAAAGATGGCGTTTTCAAAATAAAAAAACTTTTAATCTTCCCCTTCTCAGGACTCGTTTTAGCAAATGAATTGCACTTTAAAAGGGTTAATCCACATTGAAAATCATTTCAGTCACCGCACAAAATCCGGCTGACTGAACAAGTAATTCCCGAATCTAGCTTACCTTCCCATGTTTCTTTCCGTCTAACCATTCTCCACGATACGTAATTCCGGAAGGATGGTGGTATGTTCCAGTCCCGTGTCTTTTGCCCTGTAGGAATCCCCCTTCATAATAGCTAACGAAAGAGTAACATTATTGCGGTCAACTTGTCGCAGTCTTGCAAAATGAAAACCAACCTTCCATCTGGCCATTCCATGCGTCCATTTCCAGAAATCTGACTGTTAACAAACTGCCCAGTGTATGTTATCCCACTTGCTTCCCACGTAAATTTTCCCCAACCGTGTAAGCGTCCGTTCATTAGATTTCCCTGAGCGAGGAATTGAAAATGTGGGAGTATGATTTAGTTTACTATCACATTCTGAGAATATCAGGTTCTATAAACGAAAGCTTTTGGTTTCCCTATTTCCCTTTTAAACTAGCATATTTCGGGTGTTTTCAGCAACCATATGAGTAATGCCACGTTCGGAAAAACATTAGATAATTTATGCATCTCCCGTGAGTAAGTACATTTTTAGCTCCGTTTTATCTAAAAGCAAACCACCTATGATAGGTTGCTGTATTAGCTACATACCCCGTTATCGTTTGCTCCGAAATCTTTACGTACGCGCAATATTAAAGCCAGATTTTAGCCGCAGGCCTAAACCGAATGGAATGTATGTTTCAAGCTCAGTTTTCCCCCTAAAGACCGCTTGAGAAGTACTGAATATTACAGATGTTGGAATGCAGATATTGGACTGCGACAACGGGTCCAGCGACGCTACTGATCAACACATAACACACAATCGGAATATCTATGATGGCCAATCCTTCCTAATATCTCGAGAGATTCGTTAGATTCGTGCCTTGACCGGCAATTGTATCCATAAACGAAGCGGTAAAGTCGACTATTCCTCATAACTGGAAGCTAGTTGTGTGACTAATGGACTTGTACGAACTTTGAGTATATCCGGCCCTCTGGTTACCAACGTTCTCGTACAGTCTTCCTAGGAACTGCATTGTCTAAAAAACCTAGGACTTCGAAGGATCCCACCTACTGGAGTCGGCTATTTTTACTGTTTTAATCAAGTTTTAGCAGCTCTTTTTCAAGCATCCGAGTCGCTCTGCAAGTTTGTAATCAGTTTATCCATCAACCACTACACGTGGAACAATGCCGGACCTTTTGGATAAGCCCATGCATTTGTATGGCCCAAAAAAGCAGAAAAACATTTTGCTGAAATTTCTACATCCCAATCAAGCAATTTATCGATCGCATCTCTGGTCCTTAGCCCTCGCTCGTGGCTGATTACGCAAGATATCTGGAAGATTATTGTATGTCACTTATGAAACTCGTGTTTTTCTGTGTTGAGAATGTTTTGCCACCTTGTGCAATAACATTAGATTTTGAACTCAGATATAGTCCGAACATTCAACATGCAAGGCAGTAAAAAGTATTTCTGTTGACGCTTTAGGTGGCCGTCTGGTGTACAAACCACTAGCAAACTGATTCAAGGCGTGGGCACGTTGATTGAGCATAAAGTTTCACACCGAATACAGAATATTCTGTCAGGAAGCCAACCAAACATCGTTGAATATCGTCTGCTAGTTTGAGAGGCTCTTTAAACATCCCCATGCAAAACTCGACGCCAAATTCCAGGTTCTTGGGTATTCATACGATACCTGAAAACAAGTCAAAGTATACTCTTTCTGTTTGTTGCTCTTTGGAAGGACAAAGTGTGCAGCCATGGGAAATCGATTAACAACAATCCGAACAAGTAATGACGTAAGTTCGAAACTCCATGAGTTTCGTAAGATAAGCACTACTGATCAATCCCAAAGGATGGAACAGCTGTAAATTTCTCCTTTTTTCACTATAGATATATTCTGTTTTTTTCTCTACATATGACACGCTGTAAATAGGTTGCATTCGTTTGGAAAAAGCCTTCCCAGTGGGTTGAAATGTTGTTATTGATATGATGACCGTTTATTAGAAACGACGCCTTTTTACCGAATACTCTATCTTAATGTTGACTCAAGATCATTGCCATGGTGTAAGCGAGGAACACTTCTTCAGGGAGCCATGACTTTGCGAACACCAACTGGAATCGCGCCTCTGGCCCTCGCCTAGATCCCAAGTTGTCGGCTACCGCATTGCGCATATCTTCACTCTATTCCAGTTGGTGATGGAAAACCTGGTATCGAAGCCGTCTCGAGCTACGACAGGGCTACACATGTACACCAAGTGTTCCCAAGGTGATAACACAGATAGTTATACTGTGGCGTCCTGAACTGACATTTTGCTTCGAGATTCGGTTATGAATTCCATGTTTGTCGAATATGGCCTTTCAACTGTTGGGACACAAACTTCACACTGACAAGTTTTTAGCCAGTGCTGCTTCGTTTAGTAGTAGGTAAGAGACCAGAATTGCGTCTCCTATTGGGAGACGCATATGTACTGCTGCCATTTTAAACGCGAAATTCTCATGAAGGCTCAGTTTTGATCGACCTTCATCAGTAATCTTTATGAAGCCGGAAGTTTTACAAATCTTCTTTCCGCATAGAGGCTGCCAGCAGAAACTTACAGAATGGGTTCTATTCAGCTTGTTCGTCCTAGAGAGTTGCACAACAAGGAATAAAGCGAGTGGCTGTTTTCAGAAATTTTGCTGAAGAAATGGAATCTAGCGCTACGTGAAGGGTGGAAGGGAACCAGAGGCGGTCAAACAATGACTTGGCAGCGAAGTGGGAGGGCCATTACCAGCAAACTCAGCTGCGTTGATCATTGCCGTATTCCTGGATGGGAACCCTGAGACGGGCCATATCAATGGTTAGAGACATTGTCAAACATGGCCCAGTCGCGCCCTCAATGGCGCTCATGCATCCATGCTGTTGCCTTTAGTGCATAACTCCCTTCCCAATCCCCCCATTTAACAGTCCACCCACAGTTCTGTATTTACGCACTAATTTACCAGCTCCCGCCTCCAATGCGCAACTAAAACTATGGCAGCTACAAGCATTGTAGGACAAGTAAGCGTTATTGCAACTGACGATGATGATGATGATGTTTCTGTGAAGCCTCGTTCATTGTGATCACTCAAATGAGACCAGAATTGCGTCTCCTATTGGGAGACGCATATGTACTGCTGCCATTTTAAACGCGAAATTCTCATGAAGGCTCAGTTTTGATCGACCTTCATCAGTAATCTTTATGAAGCCGGAAGTTTTACAAATCTTCTTTCCGCATAGAGGCTGCCAGCAGAAACTTACAGAATGGGTTCTATTCAGCTTGTTCGTCCTAGAGAGTTGCACAACAAGGAATAAAGCGAGTGGCTGTTTTCAGAAATTTTGCTGAAGAAATGGAATCTAGCGCTACGTGAAGGGTGGAAGGGAACCAGAGGCGGTCAAAAAATGACTTGGCAGCGAAGTGGGAGGGCCATTACCAGCAAACTCAGCTGCGTTGATCATTGCCGTATTCCTGGATGGGAACCCTGAGACGGGCCATATCAATGGTTAGAGACATTGTCAAACATGGCCCAGTCGCGCCCTCAATGGCGCTCATGCATCCATGCTGTTGCCTTTAGTGCATAACTCCCTTCCCAATCCCCCCACTTAACAGTCCACCCACAGTTCTGTATTTACGCACTAATTTACCAGCTCCCGCCTCCAATGCGCAGTTACCTACCCCACCTCTCAAAATCATCGGTGAACGAAACTGTGGCAGCCACAACCACTGAACGACAAGTACGCGGTTATCACAGCTGACGATGATCATGATTATGACACGCTCACATTTGTACAGTAGATAGCATCACCATTTCCCTATACAATTTCAAATTTTGTCTAACTAACAATTGAATAAACGATTATTAGGCAACCAGTTTGAATCCGCATATCTGCGGTAACCTCATGAAAGCATTTTTCATGCCTAGCCATCATGCGCCTTTCTCAAAATCCTTCAAATAGATGGGCGGTGAAAAAATTCAAAACGTTTTTCTGAATTTTACATACGTGCAAATAGCAAATTTTTCATATGGTATCTTAATTAAAAGCAATAGGACCGTTTTCAGACGGCTCTGCCGTTTTCTTTGACGTCGCAAACAACAGAACTGACAGCAGCCTCCAGATTAAGACTCACCTCGTACTGATTACCGTTTTTAAACTGTAACAAGCTCACATCTGGCGGTCCGCTTTCGGAAACTGTACTATAGCCCAAGCGTTATTACCGTCCCGCTGTTGGGGCTCGAAACAAATTACCGACTGAACAACTGGTCCTCTAGTCCAAACATTTCCAGCATGTTCGCGCCCTTACTAACAGGCTCAGCTGGCAGATCAACCTCCGGATCCTTTTGAGTCACCTCGCAGGTCTCTAAGTTCTCTGACTGAGAATCAAGCATCAGGGTTGGCTGCAAAATGAAATGAGCAAAATTTAAAAAAGTTTGGTGGAGTTGATGAGCATGATTTGGTTGCAAAGAACCACTGACGACAAAGCAAGAATTTTCCCACAATCTACTTCCTTGAATGTTCTAAATATTGCTCAAAACTTTTGCACTTTTACCACACTCTATCGGATTGACTGAGTACTGAACCGATTTCGATGGTTTTCTTACCTTGGGGACTAACCGCTATGCTAAAAACACCTCATAAACAATTTTCGAGTTTGCAGTGTAGATTATAAATTTCTTGGCAGCAGCCGACAATCCTGATCAATTTAGATCGAAAACCTCATCATTCTCATAGACCGCATAAAAACATTGCTCAAAACTGATCATCATCATCATCATCATCGACAGCATGACATCAATGTTCAACACCAATGCTTCACTGCCGTACAACTATGACTTTTTTGAAAGCCTTGTTGTAAAGAAAAGAGTAAAGGTGGACGGGGGAGGGACTTAGTGCTAGCTTAACACAATCATTCCGAGGTGCCTACACCTCCAGACATTCACTCAGGCAATCTGGA